AAATGGAATTGCTGAGTCACCGGCTAGGTGTGCCTTTTGAGAGGCACTAACTTTGAGAAAGTGCCAGACCGCTTTCTGAAGTGGTTGCCTTGTTGGTTACTTTGTAAAGTTTGTGAAAGTAATTGGGGACTTGCTCCCATTGTAGAGATTCTGCTGTAGACCTGATGCCTGTGATGGGCAGCCCGTGTTGTGCAAAGCCAGTTTATCTTAAAGCATAGCTAACATAAGCTCGTTTGAAAATACTCAGAATATTCAAAATGAATGTGAATGAAAATCGAAAATATTATTAGGCGTAATTAGGCCTTATTAGTTCAAAATATTATTTGGCATTTAAACTTGTTGGCTATTGCATAGATATTTGAATAAAGTTGCTATATGTAAATACCATATTTAAAACGTCACCTCCATTAGTTTAAGCAGCTTGGGATTCACTGCTGCATTTGTTGTTGAAAAGTTCAGAAGGGACTCAGAGCCGAAATACGTTGGGGAGCCATCGGCGTGCAGGGTGGTGTTGATGGCGGGGCGGGAGGTTGTCCAGGGGCGTGCAGGGGGAGAGGAGCGTCCTGAGGAGATGCAGTACAGTGGACTGGACACGCTGGGCGGGGAGACGGACAGCAAACTGGAGAGAGGAAACAGTGGGCAGCCGCCGGTCCTGGGAGGAAGAGCAGAAACTTACCCTGCCCACCTCCTGGCCCCCACACCCGTGTCCTCCCACCCTCATCCCCGCCAGCCTCCTAGTGTCCTCATCAGGGTCTTGGTTTCAGAAAACAGACACCAACGGAGGGTTTGCTCAAGCAGAAGAATAATACCTCGGAAGGATGTCTGGATGAAAACAGAATGGACAGGCAGCTGAAATGGAAAGGAGAGCGGCCGCCTTTGCCAGACCCCCCCGCTGTTTGGACAGTGGACCTCCTCGATTGATCCTCTAATCTTCATTTCTTTCCTAAGGCCTTTCTCTTTGTTATTTAGTTCTCCTTTCTGGGAGATTTCCCCACTTTCTGGTCCAATTCTATTTTTAAGATTTTAAAACTACCATCATGATTTTATTTTTCAATAACTAGGAAGTTCCCAGAATGTTCCTCTTTTGTTTCACAGATACAACCTCTTATTTCTTCTTAAATTTTCTTCTCGGTGCACTTTGGCTGCTCTGAATTCCTTTTCCCCCGTTTCTTTTTGGGGCTGTCTTTCATGAGACCTGTTTTGGGCTTTCTTCAAACGTCTGGCTGTTGGCTGCTCATCGTATTTAAGAATGAGATGTGCCAAGCACTTGGAGCCTCTGTCCCTCGTAGGATGTCCCTCTGGCAGCCGTCCTCTTAGAGAGATCTGGTGGGAATCTGACCTCTTTGTTGGGATTGCCCTGCGTCTTGGTACCTTAGGCCTTATCTCTTGGGCCAGATGCGTGCTTCCAGAAATGCTCTGTCTGCTTGCCCACCTGCCGCTGAGCCTGTGGGAGACGTGAACGGGGAGTTTCTGCATTCAGCCGCTGCCTCACGAGTCCCGTGTCCTTCCAGCATCTCTCCCCTCTGGGTCGCACGCTCCCGGCTTTTCTGTACAGCCTCTGCTGTAAAAGCCTTGTTCATTCCTGAAGTGCAGGCTGGCCAGATGTGGTTTGGCTTATCCCTGCGGATCTTTTTCCAGGGATTTTGGCTTATAGATTTGTATTTAACATGGTAGCTAAAATAGCGGGAGGGTAGAATGGACAGATTTAAAATAGATCACCTAATTTTCGGGGTTGTCAGTCAGTTTACTAGTAATGAAAACTCAGAGGCATAGATAGTTCTCAAGCAGAACTTTATGTGTGAAATGTTATGTTGGTTATATATGCCCCAAAGAGGAATCGGACCCCAAGAAGTATTACACACCTATCTGTCGTAAAATAAGTAACTTTTCTAATCACATTTTACTGTCTTTCAGATCCTATCACATAGACAGTATGCACCTGAGGGTCCTGAAGAAAAGGCGCAAAACATTCAAGTAATGTCTGGAAACCGTTTGTGAGGTGAGACGTGGTTCTTCGTTTGGGTGCGTGATCACGGTTTCCTCTGGCGGCTGACGCTGACTGGTGCACTGAAGAGGCCGCGGGGCCGTGTAAAAGGTCGGCGGCGCCGAGGGGTCCTCTTCACTCTTGTCCTGGGTTGCTTACACCACTGTCCTCAGAGGAGAGAGTGTCCCCGGAGGAGGATTCCATGAAGTGAATTGGTGGCTCCTAGCGATTGTAGAGATGAGGTGGATGCGTGAGTGTGAATTCGTGGGCAGCTCTCCTTGTGTGGCTCCATTTACTGCTGGAGGTCTGCGGTGTTGTCCGTGGTGTTCTGGGACACGGGGCTTTATTTAACCTGAGGATAAACAGCTTGGGTTCAGGAGTGTAGACAGAATGCCAGTAAATTGGCCGTTAAGTAGAAGAACGATGGTGGGCCGTCTGCTTGCCCCCCGGTGAACGCGGAGTGCGTCGGGTCTCTCAGAGCTGCTCTTCGAGTGCGTCAAGCCCACAGCGGTGCGGGAACCGGTGTGGGAGAGGGCTGCAGCCTCGCCTGGCGAGTGTGTGCGTTGTCCTATCGCATGGCGCTTGCCCTGCTCTTCGCTCTCGAGTTCCAGTATTTTAGATTAGCTCAATATAAAGGAATTGTTTCTTCATTTCCTCCCCTCCCTTCCTGTTGCTTTAGTGTAAATACAGTGAGTGACTCAGCGGAACGCTTGTGCGGTTGATTGCAGATAACCGTGTGTGTCCAGCCTAACCTTGCTATGCTCTTTGATTGCTTTCTTGAAAATAAAGTGACTTCTGGACATCAGCCTGTTTTCCCTTTGCCTTCCAGTGGGTTTTACAGACTTGGGTCTAAAGCGCACAGGGGTTATGCGGCAGCATCCAAACACACGCTTCTAGGAAGGTCCTGCCGTGTCCAGGGTCCCCTGTCTTTGTGGTTACTGTTCCTGCATGAATGGACCTGCCACCTGTACCCCAGGTGGAGTCCCACCAGGGCTGCACCCTGCTCTGTGCCAGTTCTCACCAGTTCCTCAGCCGGGAAGGATAAGTGGCATGGGCTCATGTGTCCAGCATGGGGGCCTCCAGAAGACTCAGGGGGTCCTGCTGTCTAGATGGAACTCAGACTGCACAAGCATTGTGCTCTGACAAAAGGCTCATCTGTCTTTGGACATGTGGCTCTGCAGCTTATTGTCCGACCACCCAGCAAGCAAGCACCCTTTTCTCCTAGAAGGTGTCCTATTTGAGGAGTGACCGTAAAGCAGAGGGGTTCTGGTCGGAGGAAGTGTTCAGCTTCAGGCCGTGCTGTACACTTGTGATCCCCTAGGGAGCTGTTTGAGTCTGAGAGAGGTGCCACCTTCTTGTTGTGTGCCTGTAAACAAGTGTGCGCCTGCTGTGGGCCCAGCCGTGTGCAGGCCCCAAGAGGGAGCACAGCGAGGGAAGGCCAGGCCCTTCCTCTGCGGGCCGACAGTCACTCAGGGAGGGAAGATACAGGAGCTCTCCCGAGGTCGACAGTGGTAAGTACTCTGCAAATGGAACTGATGGGCATGCCCCGATAGTTCCCGGGAGGCAGAGAAGCTTCCAGACACTGTCTCGGCCCCTCAGAGACCCAGGCTTCCCAGTGCTGTAGGCAGAACCCGTCTCTGCCGCCCTCTCCAGATTGTCGTGTCTGCTGTTGAGAGACCCCTTTCAAAGTGCTCTCCAGAGGAAGGAGAAGGACCCGTTCAGGATGGCCTGCTCCGAGGAGAGAAGCGTTAGGCCTGACGGGTGAGCCGGGTTCTGTGGAGGGTGGCCGCAGCAGAGCCGTCCGCGGGAAGGCGGGCAGACAGACCTGGGTGGCGCGGGGTCAGTCAGTGCTGGCTGAAGGACGGCTGGGTAAGGTCTGCCGGAATTCTTCTCATCTTTAGTTCCTTCAAACATTTTACAGCTGTTTTTGACCGATCTAAGAGCAGGGTTATTTTACTGACTACGGGGAACAATTTCATTTCTCTTTTATACCAGTCAATGTTTATATATCGAGAGAGAATTTTGCGAAATATTTGCAGAATGAACTGTCATCAGCCAGTTCACTCATTCATTCAGCATTTTCATAACTACTATGATCCAGTTGCATTTAAGAGAAAAAAAAACCACGACCAGATTCGAAAGACCGTGCTCTCCCTCTGCTGTATGAGACTGACCCCACGAGAGACCCATCACGCCTGCTCCCTCACACGAGGGAGGCCTGTCCCCTGCTCTGTGCTTGTTTGAGACCGTCAGGGCGCCTGCGCCAAGAGAGCGCATGGATGGGTTGAGGAAACGCCGTTGGTGTTGCCATCCCTTGTACGAGCGCTGAGGCCAGAGGGTGCTGACTCTTCCTCGCACATGTCCCCTCTCCCGTCCATGTCCCCTCTCCCGTCCCGCGCTGAGAAGAGGTGCTCATGCGTTCACAGCAGCAGCAGAGCAGCTTCTCTTTGGTTTCTTTGGACCCTGTGTGTTCTCAGGTGTCAGGCACTTCAGGAAATGTGGGCAAGGTATCAAAACGGCTTGATAAGTGAAGGGAACTTTTAAAAGAACTCAACAGAGAGGAAGGGCATTCTGGCAACAGTGCAGAGTTGAAGGAGAGAGAGAGAGAACAGTGGGAGCATGCCTCAACAACCTGATGGTGTTAGTTAAAACGAGAGAGAAACGAGTAAACCAAGACTCAACTTGAGACAAGCCGGGCAAGAACCGCGAGCTCGGTGTTTCGTGAGCCGGAATAAAAGTGAGGGGAAAAGGCGGCGTTTATGTCACTCTTTCTCACACCGCTTGGCACGTCTGAGTGGAGCCTTTGCCCACTGGGGGTGGGCTGCGGGCGTAGAGAGCTGCCCCGGGACCATGGGCTCCGTCTCCCTGCGGCGCACGAGCTCTGCGCCGTGAGTGTGCCTCCAGCTGGGCTCTTCATCACTGCTCGTACGAGGCTGTGCCTGGCCGTGGCGACCATGTGTCTCCGTGAGCCTCATCCCCTCTGTCCGCTGCCCCTCCAGGGTGTGTCGGGGAAACCATGCCGTCATCAGGACACCGGCTCCGGGATGTCGAACACCACCCTCTCCTGACTGAAAATGACAATTACGACTCCTCATCCTCCTCTTCCTCCGAGGCTGACGTGGCAGACAGGGTCTGGTTCATCCGCGACGGCTGCGGGATGATCTGTGCCATCATGACGTGGCTCCTGGTCGTCTATGCGGACTTTGTGGTGACGTTTGTCATGCTGCTGCCTTCCAAAGACTTCTGGTACTCTGTGGTCAACGGAGTCGTGTTCAACTGCTTAGCGGTGCTCGCCCTGTCATCTCACCTGAGGACCATGCTCACCGACCCTGTGAGTACTCACCGTCCTTCTGGATCTTTCCATTGTGTCTGATCCGGTGTGGCACCATAGACCGTGTGGTGAAGGGCTCCTTGCTACCATAACCTCAGGTTTCTATTGATTCCTGAATACACGCCTGTGGCATTTTTTGTGCGTTAACTGGAGAATAAACATCACTCAAATCAAAGTGATATCACAGTAGCAATGGGAAATATTCCCATTGGGGGGCCGACCCCGTGGCTGAGTGGTTAAGTTCATGGGCTCTGCTGTGGCAGCCCAGGGTTTCACTGGTTCGGATCCTGGGCGCTGACATGGCACCGCTCATCAGGCCAGGCTGAGGCGGTGTCCCACGTGCCACAACTAGAAGGACCCACAACTAAAATATACAACTATGTACTGGGGGACTTTGGGGAGAAAAAGAAGGAAAAAAAATTCCCATTGGGCTCTTTATTCAAATGAAGAGAGTGTTCTAAATAATTCTAAAGCCTCTCCTAATTTAAACATTTTGTTTCTCTAAAGAATGCACTGAAAGCTGAGAGATCTGGGGTCAACATTTCACCGCTTCACTCATCTTTTCAGTTATCTTTCAACCATAAGCACCTAATTTAACTTCTTTGGGCTAAAGGTTGGCTATCTCTTAAGTTCTTTCTAGCTTTGTAATTCTCTTAATTTTTACGTGTCAGCTAAAGTCTGAGCATACGTCATTCTAGCTGGTAAAAGGTCAGGGTTCACCCTGTCTGAAGCGGAGAGGAAGACCTCCCTGATGGCTGGTTCTGTGGGGTGCGGGTTGTGACTGGGGGAGGCAGGTGCGAGGAGAAGTCAGGTGCAGTGCAGAGCCAGAGAACTGACAGGGGAGCTCATCTTGGGAGCAGGTCCCCTGAGAATGAAGATGGGCTGGGTCTCCCAGTGAACCGCCCCGAGTCCCTGGTGTCTTAAAGGCGCCTGCATTCGGAACCTCCACGTTGGGCTTAAGGCTGCTTCTCAGGTTTTGAGACATCCTTGCCGCTCAGCCAGAAGTCACCTCCAGATCGTCGATTCCGGCTCGCCGCAGAGCCCAGAGGGGAGGGGGCCTGTAGGCCCGGGGGGAGAGGGTCCCGCCCTCCACAAGCTGCATGGCAGGTGTTCACGGCCGGGTGCTCGCAGTCCACAGGGGGCTTCTTCTGAAAAGGGTTCTTCCCACAGAGCTAAAGCAGTGGTTTGAAATCGCTGGTGCAGTTGTCCTGAGTTGTAAATTAAAGTGTACTGGGCTTATGTCTATTGGTAAGTTTTCTCTAAAAAAAGTACCAAGAAGTTACTGTTTTGTTGTACAACTTTTTTGTTTTTTGAGGAAGATTAGCCCTGAGCTAACATCTGCTGCCAATACTGCTCTTTTTGCTGAGGAAGAGTGGCCCTGAGCTAACATCATGCCCATCTTCCTCTACTTTGTATGTGGGACACCTACCACAGCATGGCTTGACGAGCAGTGCCATGTCCACACCCGGGATCCGAACCGGCGAACCCCGGGCCGCCAAAGCCGCACATATATGCTTAACCACTGAGCCACCAGGCCGGCCCCTGTTGTACAACTTCTTTATAAATAGGATCAGGCCTCTGAGAATAAATTACACTGACGAGTCCACAGAGTGTGGCTGACACGTTGACTTCTCCGACTCTGCTGCGAGTCCCTGTCATGGGGCTCTGCCCTCCGTTACTCTCTGTGTCACCTTGTTTGCCTGGGAGAGGTCTTCAGCCGAGGACAGCATCTCAGACCCAGCCAGGTGGGCAGCTGGGAGCAGCACGTAGGGGACAGACCCAGAAGCTGAGGCTGCCCGTGGCTTTGTACCTCATGTGATTGTGGGATCTCTGACCGTAACCCAGTCTGAGTCCCTCAGAGACTTTTATAGGGCCCTCTTCTCGTTTCCTTTTAAGCAGCAAAGCCTCCCTCTCGGAACCAAACCCTGCCCCCCGGCATCTCCATGCCCTCTCCTCTTTGCTGCAGCAGAAACACCACACAGGCAGGTGCCAGGCCACAGAGAACCGCAGTTACAGGGACCGGCCCAGAGCAACAAGTTCTACTCGAATGTTCGCTATAGGACAAGCCTTGTTAGCGGTGGCCATCTCCCTGGGTGTTGAAAACTGGGCTGAGTCCATCCCTCTAGGCACTTTGGTGATGGGACCACGTGCACACAAAGGCCCCTTGTGACTGCAGTGGGGCCGCGGGGGAAGGAGGACTGGCCAGGCTGAGGCTCCTGTCCTCAGAGTGTCTGTTTCCTCTGACAGTCCTCAGCAGTCCAGCTCCTGGCCCCATCCCCTCTCCTCTGGGAGAGGGCCTCAGTCCTCTTACAGGAAGCCCCAGGGGCTGGGGGAGGCGCAGTGGGGGGGAGAAGGTGTGTGCAGGCTGCCGTTCTTCCTGGTGGCTGCATTCATTGTGCTTGCTGGGCCGCTATGGAGAATGGCGAACGGGAGCACCGAGAGGGAGGTGCCAGGCTCAGCGAGTTTGAGGTCTTGGATGTCAGCATTTTTCTGTTGAAATTTAATTCATATACCACAAAATTCATCCTTGTAAAGTGTATAGTTCAGTGCTTTTTAGTGTATTCACTAAAGTTGTGCAACCATCACCACAATCAATTTAGACATTTTCGTCATCTGAAAAAAAAAACCTGCACCCCTTAGCCATCACTGCCCACCCCCGCACCATGCCCCCCCTGCTCCTGGCAGCCTCTCATCTACTTTGTCTCTGGACTTCCCTGGTTTGGTCTCTTCGTGTAAACAGCGTCATACACTGTGTGGCCTTTCATTTCCAGCTTCCTTCACTCTGCAGGAGGGAGTCAGGGTTCATCCATGCTGTAGCACTGTCTGCGCTCCATTCCTTTTCATGGCTGGATAATACTCCGTTGTGTGGGCAGACCACATTTTGTTTATACCATCATCAGTTGGTGGACATTTGGGTTGTTTCCGTTTTTTAGCTATTTGTGGATAACACTGCTGTGAACATTTGTGTACAAGTGTTTGTGTGGACCTGTGTTTCATTTCTCTTGGGTGGATACCTAGGAGTGGAATTGCTGGGTCGTATAGTAACCCTATATTTAACTTATTGAGGAACTTCCTGTTTCCCACTGTGGCTGCAGCATTTTACGTTCCCACCAGCAGCCCATGAGGGTCCCAGTTTCTCCATCCTTGCCATTTGTATGTCTTTGGAGATATGTCCATCAAGTCCTTTGTCCGTTTGGATGCCACTGTTTCAGCCATGCCACATGGTAGGACCCTGGGGCAAGTTACAGAAACTTCTGGGAGTCAGTGTAAATAAGACTCACGGCAGCCGAGGGTCCCAAGGGCGAGATGGCGTCTGGCCCTGGCAGGCTGTGGAATTGGGGTGTGCAAGCTGTCGAGGAGGCAGATGGAGGGGAGAGGCCAGACCGCCCGGCTTTCTCTGGCCCTCGGGCATTCTGTCTTTCTCTCCGCCCTGGCTCTCCCTGCCTGCTGGTGAGGAGGGGTCGCCCCACAGACGACACCGAATTGCAGTTGTTCAGTTCCAGACCCGCGTTCCTGAAGGAGGGACCGCATGGCCCGGTAGGGTCGGGCGTCCACTCTGTCCTCTCCCCGGCCAGTTTGCTTTCTTCTGTCCACAGATCGGGACTTTCCCATCGCAGGGTCCGGTCTGGGCTGAACTAGAGCCATTGCACCACCCCAGGGCGGGCAGGTACCCCCTGCAACCTCATGTCATTTTACTAAACCAGCAGGACCAGTCAGGCTTTGCCAGGACTGGCTTTGGTTTCTGTTGTTACTTGAGGAAAGTTACTAGTACTTTGAGTGAGGAGCAGGAAGGCGGGTCCGTGACACTTGACAGATCCGAGATCTGATGCTAAAGCCCAACCCCCACTCCTGGGAGGTGAGACCCTCAGCGTCTCACGTTTGGAAACGCACTGAGAACTGAAAGTCGTGAAGGGCCACCGAGTGACCGGGCAGCGGCCCTCACCGCCCCAGCGCCCGCAGAGCCTGCCCTGCAGCTGCCCTAACCACAGCCCTGCCTCTGAGCAGCAGCCTGCTCCACAGACGCCTGCCTGTGCCCGTGAGGGCACCCCGTTCCAGGCGCCCTGCCAAAGGCGTCCAGCACCCTAAAGGGGGTGGTCAGTCCACAGCAGAAAGTGAGACCCCACAGCTCCTAAGAGACAAAGCTGGGACTTGAACAAGATCCCTCTGTCTCCAGAGCCCCTGCTTTTTTGTTAACTTCTTGTAGACCTTTCAAACATACACAGAAGTAGGGAGAAAACACCATCCTGAACCCACTTATCACCTCACGGTCGGTCCTGTGTCAGCGATACCCTCACCCGCTCCCCCCCAACCCCAAGTATTGGGAAGTAAACCTCAGACATTAACGACTTTATCTGTAGGTGTTTGTGCGCGTCTCTCAGGAGCGAGGGCTCTGCTCTGAAAGTGCAGCCGCTGGGCCAGCAGCTCACGTGGAGCAGTTGAGCTCTTCCCGACTGCCATTCTGGGCAGAGTCCAGATTTCCTCACTTGTCTCGGTTCCTCTGCATTCTTCTTTGTTTGAATCAGGATCCAAATAAAGTCAGTACTTTGCGATTGGTTGTTGTGCCTCTTATATATATATTTTTTTTGCAGGGGAAGATTTGCCCTAAGTTAACATCTGCCAGTCTTCCTCCTTTTTCCTTCATTTCCCCCTGCAAAGCCCCAGTACACAGTTGTACATAGTTGTAAATCCTTCTGGTTCTTCTGTGTGAGCTGCCGCCACAGCATGGCTCCTGACGGATGAGTGGTGTGGTTCCGCACCCAGGAACTGAACCCGGGCTGCTGACGTGGAGCATGCTGAACTGTAACCACCAGGCTGTCAGGGCCGGCTCGTCCTTTATGTTTTTAGTCTCTGTGCTCCCCTCTCTCTCTCGGCCTTGGGATTTTTTAAATTGAAGGGACACAGTCCCTTGTCTTGTAGCTTTCATCACACTCTGGAGTTTCAGCTCACACCTCTATGCATGTTTTCACAGGCTCCTTATTCCCTCGGTTTTCCATCGATTAGTAGGTAGATCTGTGGGAAAGGCCCCTGCCTAACTGCCCCTTGCTTAGGTCCAGGGATCCAGACTGCATGACGGGGAGTTGGGGGGTCAGGATGGAAAGATATGGGGAAAAAAAGAAAGAAAATGTACTTTGCAAAGCGTCACTTCCCTGGACGTATGACCTGGGTGAGAGCACTTGTCCTAAGCGTGGGTCTCTGGTTTCCTTCTTCGGGGCAGATCAGAGGTGGCCGAGGACAGGGGGTGAGAGATGGGTGCTAGAAGAGGCAGCAGTAAATCAGAAAGCCGTGAGGAGGCCTTCATGCCAAAGGGGAGCTGGACCATTTGGGGTACGAAGCAGCCCGGAGGCATGGCTGTGGCCTGGGGCCGGGAGGGGATCAGTCTTGGGGAGATGGGGTACGAAACATGCAAGACACGTTTTAGCAAAAGCATCCCCTGAAAGTGGTTAAAATCTGAAGGTGAGCTTGAGGGATGTGGCCCAGCCGTGTGCAAGGTTTCTTCTGATAGAATGCAGAGCGGCCCCCGGTGCCCAGGAAGCAGGCGCTCCTCCCGCAGTCTGCCCCAGGTGTGACCTGGCAGGACCTCGGTGCTGAGCAGGGAGGTGACAGTGCGCAGTGGGCTGCTGGAGGGCCAGCCGAGCACAGGCCAGCCCTGCTGCCTGGCACCTGGCCTGTAGTGGTGGCCTCGGAAGGCTCAGAACCCAGCGTAGGTCGTGGCTGCGGGGCCTGGGGAAGACAGTCTTGCAGCCCTGAGGAGACGGTGGCCTGGAGGAGCTTCGTGCCTGCCCAGGGCTCCGAGCAGCGGAAAGGAACGTCTGGAACCAGAAAATGCCCTCAACGCCGCCTAGTGATCGGCCGCCCCCTCGAGACACATCCTTCCTCGTAACCAGTCCTACGAGAGCTCTAAAATGGTCGTGCAGGCTGTTCTGCTTCCCAGAAGTGTACTGTGTCACATTCGTTTTCACTATGGAAAGTACATGTGTGTCTCATAAAATGAAGGAGTGTAGAGTTTTAAATCTGGCCCACGTCCTCTCACCGTGGAAATGTGTAACGGTGAACTGTCACCAGGAGCGCACGTACAATGTCAGGGTATTGTATAAAATCTTAACAGCATTAACAGTGTTAAAACTGCTGGATTGGTGGAGGAAATGTGAAAGGCTCCAATTTGTGGTACGTAAATTAAGAAAATGTTGTACCTAACATTCTGGTTTAAATTTCCAAAAACAAAAGAGTCTAAACCCTTTAACTTTTCAGTTCTTTTTTCTCTGATTGGCCCTGAGCTAACATCTTTTTCCAGTCTTCCTCCTTTTCCCTTCTCCCCAAAGCCCCCGCGTACATAGTTGTATATAGTTCTAGGTCCTTCTACTTCTTCTATGTGGGACACCACCTCAGCATGGCCTGATGAGCCGTGTGAGGTGTGTTCCTGGGACCCAAACTGGCAAACCCGGGCTGCTGAAGTGGAGGACACAAATTTAACCACTCGGCCACGGGGCTGGTGCCCTAAATCTTTTAATGTTTTTAGCTTCTGTAAGGAGATAGTTTGACTGTTAGGAAACGCAAGCTTCTTGACCAGAACAGCTCCCCTGTGTTGGGACGTCATCCCCGTGGGTGATGACCAGTTGATACTGGCTTGGAGGGAAGTCCACTGTAGTGCAGGGTTAGGGGTGAGGGTTCCTGTTTTGCCCACAGCCCCTCCCATCCCCGCTTCCCCAGGGTACCTCCTGGAGCCCTCACTTCCTGCTGATGACAGGACTCCCCATCTGGCTCCCTGGGCGCCTGGGAGCCGGTGATCCTCCGTCTCAGACGGCACAGGCGCTCGCCGAGCGTCCTCAGGTTTGGGTGTCGGCCCGCACCGTGCAGAGGTGTGCATCTGGCTCTGCCGTCCACCCGGCGTCCGGGCTCTGGGAGCTCCAGCGCTGCCCCTGCTGCTCCGCGGAGCACCTGACCGCCCCCTTACCTTCCACCTGCATGGTCTCCTGGGACCATTAGCTCCTGCCCTTCCATCCCTGTGCTTTCGTCATGCCCGCACCCCTGCCCTGCTGTCCCCAGTGGCTCAGGGGGACTGCTTCTCGAGGATGTCCATCTCTGCGTGAAGTGCAGGCCCCCTGGGGCTGAGGAACGGCATCTAAGACCTTCCGTACCCTGAGACATTTGGAACATGCCCGTCCACTCCAGTCAGGCACTTGTCCTGGTCCACCCTGCCATAGCACCACAAGAGTCTTCCAGATGTGTTTGTTGTTGCGCATCTGCACTGCCCCAAGAACAAGGCTGTCCCTGTTGGGGCCCATCAGGCCTCACCGCCCCGCTCAGGCCTCCAGCATCCATGTTCCCCAAGGCCACCGTCAGCGCCCTGCTCTTGCCATCAGCTCACGTTTCGCTAACTTGTCCGCGGCTCATGTTTCTCCAGCTCTTCCGGCCCTGGGGCACGTGCACAAATGCACTGTTCCAGCCCCGGGAGGAGCAGCCCCATGCCTGATGCGCAGGCGGCCAGGTGCTCGGAGCCACACTGTCCAGGTGTGTGTGCGATGCTCCTGGTTGGGTTGGCAGAGGCAGATGCGTCACACACAGACCCCCGAGGTAAAGTCCTCTTGAGATGGTTTTGTTTGGTGTCCCCTGCCGCAGCTGGTAGGAACACCACATGGGGCGCGCCTGTCAGGTAAAGCCTGCCCTTAGAGAGAGGGAAACAGGCTGGATGGAGCACACTGGCCCCTTTGGGGACAGTCAGCTGCCCTGCAATTGGAACGGCTTAAAGCAACCTCACCTCTCGTGTGTCCTGCATTAAGTTAGAAAAAACTCGGGTGACTTAAGGAATTTATGAAGGATAATGAGGTATTTATTTAGAGTTCATTTTAATGCATATTTTTCATAGAAAATAAAACTTCTGGTCCTGCCTAAGACAGTTATTTTCATATTAATAGACTTTGAGTGACACCCACAGCATTACAAATTATGATGCATAAAATCTAAGACTAATTCCTACATTTATTGATTTTTCAAAAAATATTTCCTTCTCCCCAACTGAAATACATTCTTCTTATGAGCTGCAGGGGGCAGTACCCAAAGGGAATGCAACGAAAGAGTACATGGAGAGCCTGCAGCTGAAGCCCGGGGAGGTGATCTACAAGTGCCCCAAGTGCTGCTGCATCAAGCCGGAGCGCGCCCACCACTGCAGGTGCCGCCCTCCGCCCTCCGCCCTCCGCCCTCCGCCGCGGGAGGCTGCCCTCGTCGGCCCTCCCAGTGTTGCATTCTGTGTATTGGACGTGTGGCCTGGGGTGGTTTCCTCAGAGCACGCAGTACTGAAAATCAAACTTCTCCTTTTCAGTATTTGCAAACGATGTATTCGGAAAATGGATCATCACTGCCCGTGGGTGAACAATTGTGTAGGAGAAAAGAATCAGAGATTTTTTGTGCTCTTCACTGTGAGTAAAAACATTTGTGCAGTGACTAATGTTGAGTTTTAAATTCTTTAACTAGAGTCTTGCCTGGAGCCGGTAAATTTACTCTAACATCAGGCCAGTTTCTCTCCAGCCTTTTCTCTGGAGTTCAAATTGTCGTGCATACTGTGCTGTTACTGCTGGGAAGTAGTCCAACAGATAGAGACGCATTGCTTGTGTTGTTTTAGGTGTTTCACTGTGGTTTAACTCTCTCTCAGATACCTTGAATCACAGCCGTTCGTAGGATCTGCTGAAGTGTATCAGAACTCATTTCCCAACTGTGTATTTTTCTATAAAAGTATTTCGCTTGGTCCAGTGTGATCTTGGGTAGACAGGTATCACCTGCGACCGGTTCCTCCCCTCGTGAATTCTCACTGACAGATGAAACGGAGGAGTAAACGCAACACGAAGTGGCCTTTGCTCCTCGAAACACATGATCGCTTAGAGTTGCTAACCAGCCTCTCCCCCGTTCCAGATGTACATCGCCCTGTCTTCAGTCCACGCTCTGATCCTCTGTGGCCTCCAGTTCATCTCCTGTGTCCGAGGGCAGTGGACTGGTGAGCGTGGTTGGGTCTGTCATTCCTAGAAGTGCGTGCCTTTGGGGGAAAAGGGAAAAGCTTTCAAGGAAGAATTGACTTTCCAGTTTTGAAGGAAAGCCTCCCAGTTATTTTAGAAATTAACTGAATGTTTATTTGGAGAATAATATGCGTAAGTTCTAACACTGCTGTTTTGCTGGTATAATGAAGCCACTCAGGTAATTGTTTTTCCTTAGTCAGTAGTTTTTTCTAAGTAGTCTGAGACTGGGTGGAAATTAGTGTTGTTCCAGACAAACCTTGTGTTTGTGTTCTGGTTAGCTAGCTAGGCATTGTTCAAAGTAATCCTTGCGTTACTGGACGGGCGTGAACCCCAGCAAGTGTCGTGAAGGTGGGCGTTGACTGTCCAGCCTGGATGTGAGACCGGTCAGACAGGCTCGGGCCACCCCAGGGGCGGGTGGGGAGCGGTCCGTGGTACCTCCCACCTGAGGATTGCTCGCAAGCATAGGTACACAGGAGTCTTCTTTTTCTGGGTTTAGTTGCATTTTAATAAGCAGTTTAATCCACAGAAGTCTTCTAGAAACCTCAGGTAATACAGAACCTTTTGAAACTGCTGACCAGGAAATGGTGGTGTGAGTTTTGAAGGGCCAGCCTCCCGCGCCCCCGCCACACAGGGCATGTGCCTCTTTTCCACGTGTACCTTCTCCCATGGAGGCTGGCCCAGGGCGGCCCTGGGGGCACTCTTCTGGGAGCCGGACGCCGACATCCTGCACTGCGAGATGTGTGTTCCGCGCTGATGTCCGCTAACAGCCAACTCTGTCTCGTTCGCAGAATGCAGTGACTTCTCACCTCCAATCACTGTCATCCTGTTGGTCTTCCTGTGCCTTGAGGGTCTTCTGTTTTTCACTTTCACGGCAGTGATGTTTGGCACCCAGATCCACTCCATATGCAACGATGAGACGGTATGCTTCCTCCTTTGCTGGGCCTGCTCAGTATTAGGTGAAAGCTTGTGAGAATGGGAAACCCTAACGTCCACGCCAGGGGTGCGAGTGTCAACTCGGCAGGTTAATTGGCGGTCTTGATAAGCTCCGACAGGCTCGCTGTGTTTGCTCATCCTGTCCTTATGTGCAGTGCATATTCAAGGCGCAGTTTGATTCTAGAGTCAGCAGAGCCAGGCCAAGGCCCAGTGCTGGGACACCCAGCCCCCAGAGCAGCCGAGCGCGCTGCAGGGAACCACTGCCTTCCTGCCTTTGAACTGTGGGTCTGCAGCAGGCTCTGGAGGAATATTTGTAAGAGATGAAACAAAGGTGGTGCCCTGGCCCGGAGGACCAGCCCCTCCTGCCACTACTGTGGCTGCCTGGGCTGTGCGCATCTCTGATGTTGGTCTGCCGGGCGGCTGCAGCCTGGCTGTGCTCAGGGAGGCCATGGGGGCTGGTGCCACCCTTCACCTGACCTCCTGGTTCTCAAATGCAACAGGGTTCTAAAGTCTGGCGGTGTTTTCTGTTGGAACCACTCGGCTAACCTTTATATGTCGGGCTTTTCCAGACACTGCCACCCACTTGCTTTTCTTTCTGCTTCCAGGAGATTGAGAGACTGAAAAGTGAGAAGCCGACATGGGAGCGGAGGCTGCGATGGGAAGGGATGAAGTCTGTCTTTGGGGGGCCCCCGTCTCTGCTCTGGATGAATCCCTTTGTTGGCTTCCGATTTCGGCGCCTGCAAATGAGACCCAGAAAAGGAGGCCCCGAGTTCTCTGTGTGAGGCCTCTCGCCATGCTGGAACTTGTCAACCAACTTTAAATTATTTATTGGGGTCTGAGAGGGTATCAACAGCTCGTCTGTGACCAATAGGGCAAATGGAACCACACACACCAGTTGCTTGCAGCAAGCAGAGTTTTATATATTTATAGTCACGGATGGCAGATTTCCAAACTCGTAACCAGATGATGCTCTAATCACTTCTCACCTCTACAACTAACGAAGGGCGTGCGGCCGCTCGCAGGGCCCAGTGTCGTCATCTTCCTGCACAGTCAGGACTTTTGTTAAGAATATTTGCATTTTCTAAGAAGTTGTGTGGGCTATTCCATGGGTTACTAAAATCCTCTGTGCTGAGCTGCTTTTCTCAATCGTGAAGAGAAAACGTCAATCCAGTGAGCGAGAACTCCAGTGGTCTCAGGGGCCCCCGCTGGCTCCGTGGTCCAGTAGCGCAGCCCCGATCAAGGGCGTTGGCAGACAAGGACACGTTGGTCTCAGTTAGCTCTGACCCTTTGCACTGAATGTGACCTGTGCACTGAGCAGCGATGGCGGCTTCAGGTACACTCCCCACTGCCCCGCAGAGGTGTTCTTGACCCTTTCGGCACGTCTGTGTGTGTGCGTGTCTGTGTGTGTGTGCGTGTGCATGTGTGTTTTCAAATTGGCAGTGTTGTTGAGGCAACGCGACATTTGGTGGCTGTGTGCAGCAAGCAGACTGTTTCAGAAACCGACGTTTCAGGGAAGAGGGGAGAGCTGCCTCGGGTCCCCCGGGCTTCCCGTGAATGTATCGCACGGCGGAAAGTGTCTTGATCCAAAGAACGGTCATTCCTGTGTGCTCCTTTCTTGCCCTCCTGTTTTGATTTTATTTTCAAAATCTGGAGTGCGTGAGGGCCTTGGAACTGGCTTTTTTTGTTCCAGCCAAATTCGCAGCGTGCAGACGGCAGCTCAGGGGAGAAGAGCGGAGCCTCGGGGCACCCGGGTCCTTGTGCAGCTTGAAGCTGCACAGCTTGGCGGGCGTGTCCCTGGGGAAATCCCGAGAGATGGCGGTGGCCTTTGTGCCTCGCTGGGAGAGTGAGGGGACTGCAGGGCCCGAGCCCCCGCCTCTGTGTGCCTCAGTTGCAGAGAATATTCAGGATGGCAGCAGCCTGTTTGAGGGAGTTTTTCTTTTGTATCGTTTATGTTGTGTCTCCACCTGTGTCACAGGTGATACGGTAGGCCCCTGGGTGCGGAGCTCACCGTTCCGCCAGAGAGCCAACAGCTCCCCTCCCTGGGGACTTGCCTTAACTTGCCTGGTTGGCACGCGTCTGCGGGTGCACGAGGAGGCGGTCTGTGGCGGAGCGGGGTTTCCTGTGAGGCTGCCTCCCGCTCTGGAAGGGCGTGCATCCCTCCTGTTCCGGACGCCTTTCTGTCCGTCTGTGGAACTTTGTTTTTGTGTTTAATCCGGACCCCGTCCCAGTCAGGGCTCCCACCACTGCTGATGCAAAACCGCAAAGGGACCTACTCGTGATGCGGTCGTGGCCCAGTCCACAGGCCGCAGGGCATTTGTGAGATGGACTGTCACTGCAGAGATGTGCGAGCCATGCGGGGACGGACCATGTCACAGCCAGAGGGACAGAGCACCGAGGGAACCGGCGGGTGGTCCCAGGGCAGGCGCGTTTCCGGGGGCTGTTCGGCCTATGCATTTGCACATCTCTCGTCTGGGGTGGACAGTGGACTGGGCTTCACCGTGAGGCTTTCAATATGTGTATCCTGTTGATCAATAAAACTCATGAAGTGGTTGAACCCTGTGACTCGGCAGTATGTGCAAATCCAGTATACTTGACTCTTCAGCCTCTCCTTTCAATGTAACTTTTATATGAAATAAAGTCACCACTTGACAGTTCTCCAACAATTTGTGTAGTGGCACGGCTCTTAATGGCTTCTTGGTGTGTTCTCGAGGGACGGCTTTTCCTCGGCTTACAGACCCCCGCGTCCCGGGCTGTCACCGTCCCTCCTATACCGTGTCCACAGCCTCTGGACACTGGAGAGCCAGTGACAGGAGACCTGGGCATGCAAGTATTGCTCGCACGGCTTTGCCCTATCCACGTTGAATGCTTCTGATGCCCGTCTTCGTACGTAGCTTTATCCTAAACATTCCTTTAATTTTGTTAGTGCATTTTGAAATAAAAACTATTTAAAAAATCTCTCTCTTCGATCCAGAATCTCAAGTACCTCCAGCTTCATTCAACAGGTTTGTCTAATGTTTGTGCCTCAGGGACCCAAAGATGCGGGAAGAGGGTCCCGTGCCCTCTTGGCGCTGTGCAGGGAAGACAGGCAGCTACATGGATGACCGACGGTGCGTGTGCACGGGGATGTCTCACACACCTGTCCTGTGAGGTGCTCGCTGGCGTTTCAGACACGCAGAAACACGTCCCCAAGCCGGACACCAGGGCCGCAGCAACTCTGGGGCTCGTGTTTGTGGCTCTGCAGAATTTTGCTGCCATGTTATTGGTATTCCTATCAGGATGTTATGTAGCCTTATCATGTAGAACTATGATATTTGCATTAAAATGGAAAATGAAAATATTGTCCAAATAGGAAGGTGGCCAAATCCTGTCTTCTATTATATGTGGATTCGGTTCAGTCCTGAGGGGTAGCCTGTAAAAAACCCGGGAACAGCCACATGCCCGTAAAATCCACACTGATCCCGAAGCAGCTGCCGCCGGCGCCCTCAGGGAAGGGGTGAGCCACCTACAGGATCGACTGAGGATCAGATTCAAAACCGTGTTGCTCCTTATCCAGCTGATAATTTAAGCACAGGCAGCCTGAAGACACAGGGAAAGGTCAGGTGGTTGGGTAGATCTGTGCCCGGTTCCGTCAGCCGAAAGCTGAGCCAGCTTTTGATCTGCAAGGAACGACCACGCATGCGTGGGTTTGTTTCCGGGCTCCCTACTCTCTTCCATTCGTCTGTATGTTTGTCTTTATGCCGGTACTCTTTTGATTACTGTAGCTTTATAATATATTTTGATATCAGGAAGTGTGATGCCTCCAGCTTTGTTCTTCTTTCTCAAAACTGATTTGGTGGTGTTCATGGTCTTCGTACTTCCATATGAATTTTAGAATTGTGTTTTTCTATTTCTGTAAAAAATGTCATTGGGATTTTGATAGGATTGCATTGAATCTGTAGATAGGTTTGGGTAATATGGATATTTTAACAATATTAAGTTTCAATCCACAAACATGGGATCTTTCCATTTGTTGGTGTCTTACTTTCTTTAATCAGTGTTTTGTAGTTTTTGGTGTCCAAGTCTTTTACCTCCTTAGTTAAGTTTCTTCCTAAGTGTTTTATTCTTTTTGGTGCTCTTGTAAATGGGCTTGTTTAATTTCCTTTTCACATGGTTTGTTGTTAGAGTATAGAAATGCTGCTGATTTTTGCATGTTGATTTTGTATTCTGCAACTTTACTGAGTTTGTTTTTTAGTTATTTAGACAGTTTTTTTGGTGGAGTCTTTAGAGTTTTCAGTATATAAGATCATGTTATCGGTACACAGCAACGGTTTTATTTCTTCCTTTCCGCTTTGGGTGTGTTTTCTTTCTTTTTTATTGTATTTTATTTTCTGCCTGCTTGCTCTGGCTGGGACGTCCAGTGCTGTGGTAAACAGAAGCGGTGAGAGTGGGCACCCTCGCCTTGTTCCTGATCTTAAAGGAAAGGCTTTCAGTTTTTCACTGTTTAGTATGATGTTAACTGTGGGCTTTTCATATATGGCCTTTGTTATGTTGAGGCACTTTCCTTCTGTTCCTAGTTTGTTGAGAGGTTTTTTCATAAAGAGTGTTGAATTTTGTCAGTTGCCTTTTTTTGCATCTGTTGAGATGACCATGTGATTTTTATCCTTTGTTCAGTTAATGTGGTGTATCACGTTAGTTGACTTTCGTTTGTGGAACCATCCTTGCGTTCCATGGGTAAATCCCACGTGGTCCTGGCGTGTGGGCCTTCTAATGTGCTGTTGGATTTAGTTTGCTAGTGTGTCGTTGAGGATTTCTGCATCTGTGTTCATAGGGATGTTGGCCTGTAGTTTTCTTTTCTTGTGGTGTCTTTGTCTGGCTTTGGTATCACGATAATGTCGGCCTCATAAAATGAGTTTGGAAGTGTTCCCACTTCTTCAGCTTTTTGGAAGAGTCTGAGAAGGAGTGGCATTAATTCTTCCTTAAATGTTTGGTAGAATTCACCCGTGAAGCCATCTGGTCCTGGACTTTTCTTTGTTGGGAGGTTTTTGACTATTAATTCTGTCTCCCTGTTAGTTATAGGTCTGTGCAGACTTTAATAAAATGAGAAATGAAAGAGGAGACACTACCACTGATGGCTCAGAAAGAAAAATGATCCTAAGAGACCAACATGGAAGTTACATGCCAGCAAACTAGATAGCCCAGAGGAAAAGGATACATTCCACAAACAAACCTACCAAAACTAAATGCTGAAGAGACAGCATACCGCTCACAAAGACGCATCACCAACGGCAGTGCTGTGGGGGCCGGGAGAGCTAACAGTCCACTTTAATGTTCTAGGAAATGCAACCGTAAGACTTAGTGGCACATACCTTGTTCTGAGGAACAAGGTTCTTGTTCTGAGGTTTTTTGGGGGGAGGGACTTGAGACCTCAAATTGGTAAAGAAGCAGCATTTGAATAAAACGAAGTGTTTTGGTTTGATTATGCTTCCTCCTTCGTTGCGTCTCCTCATTTGGATTGTCATCATTGAGCACTTCGAGTGGAATGTGCGAGAAGGAAGAAATGAAGGCTTCTACCTGCCCAGGATCAGGGGAAGCGTTTGGTGATAAGTTCTCCCAAACAGGCATGTTCACACGCCTGCTACGGGCAAATGAACCTTCAGGAGCTTTAAAGACAGACACAGAAGCATGTGCACGGTTCCAGGCCCGGAGTGAACTCGGTCGCTGCGCATTTCCCAATAACGCAAACACAGCGATGCCAGGTAAGACTGGAAAACTGCGCGGACCAGCAGTGACATCGCTTCATTCCAACTACTGAAACTTGGGACTGCCACCGGGATGTGCCATCTCCCCTCTCGTGTCCGTCAACCCACGGTTCCTAAAACTAGCTGGGCCATGTGGTGGCGCTCTCTCTCTCGACCACGTTGGGTAGTGGATGCTTAGCTGTATGGATGTGATTTTTTTTTTCGGTTCTGGAACATCCCCTAAAAAACCATGACTTGGAAAGCTGACTGTAGCTGAGATGGGAACGAGCACTTAAGTTTACCTGAGACCCTCAAGCCCCTCACAGTCTTCTTAATAGTAATCCCACACGTGAAAACCCACCCAACTGAACGCCCTGGCAGGCCTTGTTCCAGTAAGGGTATCGGCGTGTTGTCCAAAGGCTTCCTATTCACACACCTCCGACAGTTTACACCCTCTGAACCAGAGCTCCTCACAGCGTAATGTACACACAGATTCCTGGGCATCTTGGTAAAACTCAGACGCCGATTCAGCAGGTCGGGGGGTGGCCTGAGACTCTGCATTTCTAAGCAACTCCTGATGGTGCTGACGGGCTGGTCCGCGGGCCACACTTCGAGTAGCAAAGTCTAAGTGTCAGCCAGCGCAGGAAGCGTTCGTTAACCCCTGGCAGCTCTCAGTGAAAGTATTAAACATCCGTCTGGCAACGTTGAAATCTACTTGTGTAAGTGAAGACGACGATCCTCACTGACACACCTGTGCTGAGACTATGCGCGTGCACGCACGCACAGGAAGGAGAAATAGGCAGATGCGTTTGGACTTGGGGTGACAAGGCTTTCAGAGAATTTCAACTTTAAAGTCATCAGATGTTCGTGCAATAAACGATTTTTTAAAAAAAGTACTTGATCCAGACAGCAGACTACTGGAGGGGACTGTTGGCGGTCTGCTGTAAAAGGGCGCTTTAGAACTTCCTCCTTTTGAGAACCGTTCACGGTTCCATGAGAAAAGCCTGGAAGTTGGTACGATTCGGGTAGTAATGGGGCTGAGAGAAAACCAGCTCTTACCAGTTATTTGACAGAAAGCGATCCCGTCAGCGGAGGGCGGTCCCCTTCCTGGTGCCACGTGGGAGGGGAGCATTGTGTTCCTGTGGGGCCGGCCACCCAGCTGCTCGCAGAGTTTGGTGGCGTCGCCACAGCGCCGTGCGGCTCTCGCTGGCGTTCTGTCCTGGACTGGCGCGTGCCTGTTTCCCCAACCCCAGCCATCCCGAAGAGGGAAGTGGTCCCGCTCTGAAGGCCATGCCCTTAAGTGGCAGGACTGTGTTCAGCCACGGAGGTGCCATCGAGTCAGCAGGGAGGTTCCCGGGGACCACTCCGAAGGGGGTGTGGTCCTTTGGGTGCAGAAGCTCCGGCTTATTCAAGACAGCATTATGTTGACTTCGGTCAGGCTTTACTGTGCCAGGGGCGAGACCCCCAAGCTGGCTCAGCAGCTCTGACAGCCTCTCTCCTCATAGGTGCCCACCGTGTGCGGGAGGGTTGAACTCAGTGTGCTGGCTGGCAGGGCTCGACGTGCGCGTGTGTACAAGTCAGCTGAGGCTCGTGGTGGCACCCTGCCCTCTGACAAACCAGCGGGTTCCTCTTCTGGCCGAGAGAATTCGCTTGAGTTCCAAGAAAAGCTCCAAGTGCAAGGTACGCTGATCGCCAGGGTACCGTTGTGATATTTCCTTTCCGAAGTGCCCTCCTGTACGTGACCTGATTGCACCCTCACTGCAGCCCTTCGAGGCAGATGCCGATCTGCCCATTTTACAGACCACGAGACTGAGGCCTGTGGAGGTTCCGTGAGGCGCCCGGGGCCTCTCAGGGAAGACCAGGGATTCCACACGGCCGTTCTGGCTGGAGTAAAACCACTTTTTCTAATCCGGAGACTCCTGTTTTTATTTTTTAATTACTGAGTT